CAGGATAAATTCTGCCTTCATCCTTCAGGGCACTTATAATTCGACAAGGGATATTAAATATTTAGTTGTTTTTCAGAACACCCTTGTAGGATAGGTTAATATTAATAACCCAATTTATGCAGGAGCTCCTGTAAGCCCGGGAAAGGACATGGCTATGTCTAAGATCTCATAGCAGCTCCAGATTCAGAAATGCCCTCCTTGGGGTTTTGCAGTTAGTTGGTATCGCCTTGTAGTCTCTTAGTTCTAAGAACAACCAAACTGCCAAGGTTTGAATTAGCTGCTCTGTGCTTTCCAAGCAAGCACAGTGTGTTAAGTACAGAAAAGTACTTCACCTGGAACCTTGTTATTGAAAGCATTTTATTCATGTGGTCCCTATCCAAAACAAAGGCAAAAACCTCTCAAGGTTAATCTAAGCCAGAGAATCCCTTATTTTTGTGTCAGCAAAAAGTAAGCCACATGCGTAGAGGGGGACTTGTTCTTTCCAGGTGTCTTTCCATTAGTTCCTCTCCAATATTTTCCTACATTTGTTTTTTGTTTTTCTTTTTGTTTTATGGAGAGGTTTTCGCTATAGGGCACATGCGCTCGCCAGAAAGACAGACAGAGACAGAAAGCGAGAAATCACCCCCCAGGGGGGATGGCCACACCGCACTCCCTTCTCCTCCATTCTCCTCTTGGGATCTTGGGCATGCACACACACATAAACGCGCAGCATGAGTTTAAGCCACCAGGTCCAGGACTCGAACCGCGGTCGACTACATGGGAGTCCAGCAACATAGCCATTACACTAACTGCTGGTTTCCCTGCATTTGTTTAATGAGAATACCATTCACCTCTGTTGGGAAAGCAACGAATATTTTCCCATGTCAGCAACTCGTTTAGTTTCCCTTTAAGCTGAAACAGACCTGTACAAAGATTAGTTCTTTCTGAAGTGCTTCACTTTCCCCTTTAACAACTAGAAGAAGTAATTAAAAATGAAGCAATTCGACTTTCTGTTATTAATCTGGCTACTTATACAAATCGCACCAGAACTCTAAACTACTCTGTTTTCAACTCTCAGCCTGATGTCAGCCTGTGAAAATTAATATTACTAGTTCTAATCTTAAAGCGTGTAGTTTTGTTGAATCACTTTGTTACTGCCTACTTCCCAGAAATAACCTAACAGAAACCAAAACCTCTAGTTCTTTCTTCCATTCTAATCCTTCTTCTACGCTCCTTCTAAGAGATGGTCGCCCCAGTTCCCTGAGATGAAGGGCATTCTTAGGCTGCACAAGGCTTGCTTCAAAACGCATCTGAATTTGAGGTTGTGCAGGAGGACTAAGGATCTTTTAGCTTTAGGGTCTTATGCAAATTATATCTTATAAATTACCAATAAGGCACTTCTTTTTATACTTCAGATATTTTAAAAGATGAAACCAATTAATATTTACAGTGGGAAGAGGATGAGAAAGAGTGCAAATGTTGGGAGAGAAAGCCAACTCTGGAAAACACGGAATTTCACTAGGCTTTAGCGTTAAAGGCCTGTCCTTTGCCTTTGTCATGTTACATTTTACACAGCCTGCACCAAGGTAGAAATGCTCTAAACCACATTGTCGTCACCAGTGTTTCCTCTTGCTTTTGGAAGTCATGCTTATTTATATCCCAGTTAAGAACTGTCTCTGAGAAGTAGATGTTCTTCATAGTAAACTCTAATCGTTTGGGTGTGCAGGTGCCGATTGCTGTCTTCACCCTGTTTTATCACTCCTACGCTTAGCTCCCCTGTACTTAAATGCGTGTGCAAGGCAGGGAAAACAGAAACGGAGGCATATCAAAATGGGGGCAGACCTCTGTCCTTTCACAGAAGAGTCTAGAAAAGGAAAGTGGCTGACATCGCTTCTGGCTTCTTTCCCATCAGCCCTCCGTGGGCATGCACACACCTGCTCATGTACACACACCACACAGCACACACATAGACACATCCCACACCCCTGTCTCTGACAAATTGTACTTCTCATTGCCTCCCAGACGAATGAGAATTCTTGTTCCTGTCATTTCCCAGCATATTATTGTTCCTTGACGAGAATAAGGCCGTCTCTATTTTTTCTGCTGAAGCAGTAGCACCGTCCCATCGCACAGTGCACAGGACTCTGGATCCCACACAGCTAATGGCGGTTTGGATCCTGCTCCCATCAGCTTGAAAAACACACTGGGCCTGTGTGCATATGTACCCGGGGTCCTGACGGGAAGGAGAAATGGAGGCAGAGGGGTTGTGGCATGGCCCTGCTCCATTGGGGAGTGCCTTCTCCCTCTCTCTGGTGAGCACATGCACTCACTGACAAGAGAAAAGGGAAAAAAAAATAAAAACTTTGCAACATTTTAATGAAAATTAAGTGGAAGAAAAAGTCAAGCCACTTGACACATTGCAGCTCCCTCCTTGTATTAGATCATCTGGAAAGTGATGACGTGTATTTTCCTATGTGTTTCTATGCAAAGATGCATCATGACTTCCTGCCTTTCCTTCAGAAGTCATGCCGCACCTCCTCCAAGCTTGCTGGGTGAAGCCCTTATCGGGCAGCAGGCTGCCTCAGTGTTGGTGGTTGTATTTACTCTTCCCCAAGTTGCCTGTAAGTTCCTCGAGAACTAAAACTCTTGAAACAAAGGTCCTCAGTGTCTGACAAGCCTTGTGGGATGTAGTAGCCGCAGGTGTGTGATCATACAGAACTGGAAAGTGGACAGGGACTCCCTGACCCCGGGTTCCCCTTACTGTAATCTCACGACGTTGGAACAACTTTTGAGTCCATTACATTTTCTTGGTACAGTAAGGAAAATGGCCTGTGATCTACTTGCTTAAATTATAGAATCTAAAGGGGCTGTCAGATTCAAAAGGATATTTCTTATACCCCCTTTGGTACAGAGAGAGCTTGATTGGGCACACATGTCTCTTTGAGATGACATTCTCTTAAAAATAAACTTTAGAGGGGACCAGCAGGTGGTGTGATGGTTAAGGTGCTGGCTGACCACAGTTTGAGTCCTGGACCTGGTGGCCTTCTCTCTCTCTCTCTCTCTCTGTCTCTCTCTCTCTGTCATGTGTGTGTGTGTGTGTGTGCATGTGTGTGTGTCTGGTCAAATTAAAATGAATGAAAGAATAAATATTAAATAAAATAATTATTTTTTAAAATAAATAAGCTTTAGAGCAAGTTTGTTCTGATAATAAAGGACAGTTACTTAAACACTCTTAACCAAAGATTTGTCTTCTAGTAGGAAAGTTGTGTCTTTCACTGTATATGCTAGATTTACATTTCAAGGTTTAATATTTTATACTTAGATAAGTCTTTATCCACATGCTTTTCAAAAGAAAAAGACTTTTTTAAAGTTTTTTTTTTCTTTAATTTGCCATAGAGCACATGCAATATGTAGAAGAGAGAGAGAGAGGGAGAGAGAGAAAGTGAGAAAGCACCCTTCCCCTGGGGGAATGACCATGCCATATCCCTTCTCCACGCTCCTCTCAGGACTTTGGGCATATGTGTACTCGAACCCAGCATGTTTTTCAAGCTGCCAGGTCTGAGAGTCAAACCGCACAGTTGGCCCTGTGGGATCCAGCCAGCCCTAACTACCACACCACCTGACTGACCTGAGAAATAAACGTATTATACTACAGGACCAGCAGATGACATAATGGTTACGTTGCTGGACTCCTAAGTAGTTGGACTGCGGTTGGACCTGGTGGCTTAAAAAACTCAGGCCAGGGCTTTCTCACTGCACGGCTGGCTGCCAAGACGGCGCCACAGAAAGACAAGAAGCCTAAGAGGTCAACCTGGAAGTTTAGTTTGGACCTTACTCATCCAGTAGAAGACGGAATTTTTGACTCTGGACATTTTGAACAGTCTCTGCAAGGAAAGGTTAAAGTCACTGGGAAAACTGGCAACCTTGGGAATGTAGTTCGCATTGAACGCCTCGAGAATGAAATCCCAGTCGTTTCTGAGAAGCAGTTCTCTAAAAGGTATTTGAAATACCTCACCAAGAAATACCTGAAGAAAAACTACCTTCGTGATTGGCTTCGTTGTGATTGCATCTGACAAGGAGACGTACGAACTTCATTACTTCCAGATTAGTCAAGATGAAGGGTCAGAGTCTTAGTTGAAGGGTCGCCTTACCGGGCTTTGCTGACTTAGTAAAGCATGCAGGGTACATGAGAGAGAATCATCTGCAAATAGACTTACTTTATTAATGAATAAAAATCACTGCTTGTAAAATTAATTAATTAATTTATTTATTTATTTAAAAAAATAAAACCTCAGGCCAGGTGAATGTGCATGCATGTCCAAGATCCTGAGAGGAGAATGGAGGAGAGGGATTGCAATGAGGCCATTTTCCCAGAGGATGATTTCTTGCTTTCTGGTTCTTTGCCTCTCTCTGTCTCTCCAGCGAGTGCATGCTCTCTATAGCAAAGAAAAACTTTAAAAAAAAAAAAAAAAAAAGATGTATTTGTTATATTACAGTCTTAAGTGTCGATTCCACCATCAACTCCCTTTAATTTCTTGGGTTTTAGTTTTTTTATAATCTTTCATCTTCCTGATGGATCTTTCACTTTAAGCTACAAGAATAGTATATTTCTCTGTTATAATTTATCTGTCTCAGACTTATTCAGGTACTGATCTGTCATCCCTAACCTTTGACAGGCAATTAGAAGGAAAACTTTTTGTTACTGTTTTTTAACCTTGAGGAAATAGTTCTTAGCAATTGAACGAGATCTTAAGGATTGGTCTTTGCTACAGCCCATCCACACACACTCCCACTCCCCCAGCTTCAGATCCTTGGTTCTTATAATCGTAACTTCATTAAAAAGTCTTGAGTCACAGTGATGATCTGGCTTCGGGTTCTCTAGCTCACTGATTTCTGTGTGATCCACTAGACAAAGATTAGCATTGTCACCTTTTTGTTCTTGTTATTTTGGGACCTTGCGCTACAGTACTGCACAAGAGAGCTGTTTCTAATGTGTTCTGTCTGTGTCTCTTGTCATTGAGGTAATTGTCATGAGAAAACCCTGGACAACAGCCATGACAAACAGAAATATTATGACAGCCCACAGTCACAGGATGCTGCTGAAGAAGAGCCCTCTGAGAGAGACACAGAGGAGGACCCTGTACTCTCTGTTGGGAACTCAGGGAGGGACTCAGATGCCCTTAGACTTGAAAGTAAGTTGATTTGACCTGAGCTGTGCTTCTGGGAAAAAAATCAACTCTCAAGCTTGAAGCTTCGCCTTTCCTGTGCTTGCTTTCAAGAGTCTGTTTTCTTCTGTTCCAGTCGCTCATTACATTGCAGAGTCACGAGGGAGGCCCTCACAGGGAGGCAGAAGACAAGCCGTAATGTGGACATGCCCTTCACACTTCCTGTTTTCTCCACCTCAGTGTCGTCTTCTGCTAGAACAAATTCAGTTCACTTATATATACACCAGCCTTTCTTCTTAATGTCATTACTCTATTGAGTAAGTCATAAAAAAAAAAAAGGAAGATACGTTATATTTACACTAACCCAATCAAATCTGAAAACTCGAAACAAGAGGCATACTTACCAGACCCTCTGAGATTCCATTTTAGGACCACATTTTGACCTGTGTGGCACTGAACCATTCCTACTAAGATCAGTCACCTCAGACTTGCCAAAAAGAACAGCTTCTTTGCACTGTTCCTCTGACCTGACCCCTTCACTGCATTTGCAGCTGTGTACAGCTCCCGCTTCCTCAGACTCTCCTCCCCTCTTGGCTTCTGGAACATCATGTGCTTAATTCTCTCCTATCCTCAAGCCGTCTCAGTTTCCTTCACTTGCTCTTTATTCTGCCCTGTGTTTGTTAAGTTAACCCAAGATCCCAGCCTTGGTCCACTCGTCTGATCCCTCGTGTCATCTCTTGGTGACTCAGATACCTTCAGATACACCAGGTGACACCAGTGGCTGCAGATCTTCATTTGCAGCGTGGATGCTCGGTACCACTGCAGGCCTTCCACCTCTTTAGTGAACTCTTTATCTAGATGTGCCACAGGCAGTGCCAAGTTAACATTTCCACACTTAAACCTGTCCTATTTTCTCCCTATTTCCTAAATTGCTTCAAATTCTATATTCCTGGTCACTGTCCGTGGCCCCATGACTCACCTGGGCACCCCGACATCCAGGCATTCTCTCTCACATGTTGAATTGTCTTATCCGTTCTTCTCCCTCTACCACTGCCTCAGTTCAGACTTTCTTCATTCCTGCCTGCACCATTGAGACAGTCTCTTAATTTGGTTCTCTAAATCCAGTCTTTTATGTGAGAGAGACCGTATGTGTGCGTGGAGGAGAAAGAGGGACATGTGTAATAGACGCAGAAGTTATAAAGCAGACGCATCCACGGGTGCTAGATTCTCGTGTGTTCAGAGTCATTTCTAAAATGCAGATGTGATCAGGTAAGTTGCCTTTGGTTTAAAATTTCTACTGGTTTTCCACTAGCTACAGGAAGAGTGTAAATGTCTTTGTGTGGGATATGAGGCAGCCTGGCCCCCGTCTCCTCTCCAGCGACACCACCCACTAGTCCTCTGCTTAGCAGGAAGGATAACCCTTGCACTGGTCCCCTCACGTGCTGTTTGGAGCCTCCATGTCCGCACAGGCTGGGCAGGGCCCCTGCCTCCTCTGCTTTCTGTGTAGCCCTGCGCCTCTCCCAGAGCCAGCTGGAATGTCACCTTCCCTGGGAGACGCTCTCAGAGGTCTCTGTGCACTCGGGTGCCCCACCGGCTGTCTTGCCCTAGTTTTTGTCAAGGCACATGTCATGCAGTAGTAGCGGTTCGTACGTCTTGTTTCCCGTCAGACTGAGCTCCTTATAGTACCGCGTCCTGCTTCACTTCATGTTCTCTGTGGACAGTACACGTTTGCTAATGAAATGTGCCTTTACTCTCCTGTGTAGGTTGGAATAACATACTTAGCATGACAAAATCTTCTATTCTTCTAAAGTTATTACATATAAAAAATGACATCTAAGAGAAACAAGCCATGCCATAAAGGGGAAGTTGTAAGCTTCACTCTTGCAGGTTTTGAAAAGCAGTGTCATCAGTTCTACTAGGAGTGATTGAGTTTTAAGGAAACTAATTCCCATTTACCATCTCAAAAGAGCTGGATGCTTCTAGATGGCCCATTTGTTTAGAGTACGGGCTACACGTCACTGGTGCCAGGCAGCCTCGTGAGCCATTTTTTTAATGTTTAATTTTTTTAGCTTTTGCTCTGGGGCATGTTCATTCAACAGAGGGAGAGAGAAAAAGTGAGAAATCACCCCACAATGATCATGCCACAGTTCCCTCTCCATTCTCTTCTCGGGATTCTGGGCACACACACTTATGCCCCCAACATGGTTTTCATGCCCCCAGGTCCAGGACTTGAACCACATAGTCAGCCATGTGGGACCTAGCACCTTAACCTCCATGCCATTTGCTGGCCTCTCGTGGTGTTTTGGACATCCTAGCACCCACACAACCACACAAACATGAGGTGGTTTGATGAACTCAGAGTCAACAGAAATGAAACTGAGTAATATAGAAGAAGGGCTGTCTATTTCATTTATAGAAATAAGCCCTATTCTGCAGTAACATGGCTGCTTAGTGACTAGGATATTCATGCTACCAAATTGAGTCTTTTTTTTTTTTTGGCCTAGCACAATTCAGAATATAACTCAACTAAAATATTGTTCTGTTTTCCCTTTTTTTAATGAACACATTATTGCTTGAAACAAATTATACCATAGTGTTGAAGTTTCTTTAGTTCCATATCTCTCTGTAGTTCCACTCTGTCTCCATACCTGCTATAAAGTGCAGTTGCCTTGACCAAGATTCAGCATTTCCCAAGTCCCTTCAAGAGCATACAAACGTCTCTTAGGGTAGAGTCCTCTTCGGACTGTAATTCAGTATGCTGATGACTCTTAGTAGATTTAGTCTCAGGTACTAACATTTCTTTGCTACATATTCAATTCTGGGAGTACCTTTTCCTTTCTTAAGAATTTTTGCTGTTAGGATGTGTGTGTTCACCAGAGAGAAACAGAGAGAGGAAAAGTGATAAATCACTCCCCAGGGGATAGGCAACACTGCAACCCTTCTCTCTTCCCCTCTTGGGATTTTCTGCATGCACACATATGTGCTTGGCGGGTTTTTAAGCCACTGGTCTGGGACCCAAACCACTCCATTGGCCATGTGGTGTCCAGCACCTTAACCTCCATGCCACCTGGCTGGCCCTGAGAGTACCTTTTCTAATCCTAGATACTGTCAACAAGTTTACAAGACAGCAACTATGGTGGAGGTCAGCATGTTCATACCAGTGGGCTTCTATAGTAAGCTTATCAGAGTCAGAATAACTTCCATTTTCTAATACAAATAGTATATTAAAATAAAAGCCAAGCATATCTATTAAAGAATTTTTGAAGGGACCAGCAGATGGCATAATGGTTATGTTGCTGGACTCCCACATAATCCACCATGGTTTGAGTCCTGGACCTGGTGACTTAAAACTCACACCAGGTGCATGTGCTTGCATGCCCAAAATCCCGAGAGAAGAATGGAGGAGAAGAGATTGTGGTGTGGCCATCCCCCTTGGTGGGTGATTTCTCACCTTCTGTATCTCTGTCTCTCCAGCAAGCACATGTACTCTATAGCAAAAATCTCTCTCAAAAAAAAATTTTTTTTGAAAAGTATTTTGGGAGAAAAATTTAAAGAAATCCAAGTAGTGGGGGTCAGCAGTTAGCGTAATGGCTATGTTGCTGGACTCCTGTGTAGTTGACCACGGTTGGAGTCCTGGACCCGGTGACTTGACACTCGCCAGGTATGTGTGCGTGCATGCCCAAGATCCCGAGAGGAGAATGGAGGAGAAGGGATTGCAGCATGGCCATCCCCCCTGGGGGGTGATTTCTCGCTTCCTCTCTCTGTCTCTCTCTGTCTTTCTGGCGAGTGCACACACCTCTCCAAAAAAAAAAAAATATATGAGTAGTTACTTTCTCTCTAATAAGCATTAACTATTATCATAATCTAGTTACTTCCTCTCTAATAAGCATTAACTATTATCATAATCACTACCTTTCACAGTACTTTATAATTTACAGTGAATTATGAATTGTGTATTAACCTAGTGAAATAGACGTTATTATTAAGCCCATCTTAGAGATGAGAAATTTGAAACTCAGAGAAGTTGAGTACCGTTCCTAAGATCATCACTAGGTGGCATAACTAAAATTCCTCTCAGACCCTCTGCTTCATGTGCTGTATTCTTTCACCATACTTCAAGTTTACAGAAATTGGAGTTTGGTGGATTGGGACTTTAATTTCTAACTGGTAAGATAATTTTTAAAGAAAACTAACATCCACTATTACTGTTATTTCCATGTCAAAAGTACAAAGATGATCTCAGGATAAAGGGGAGTCTTTGTCAAGAGTAGGCAGTTGGCAGCCTTAAACCAACAAACGCACCAACAAACGCATTCCTTTGTGAGAGAGAGAGAGGCACGCTGCAGATTTATACGCACGTCCTTTTTTTAACTTCTCATTTTACTAAGGATTAGTGAACACTGAGTCACTCATTAACATTCGAAAATCATGGCTTTGATACCTCACCATCTAGTCCAGAATTCCTCCCTGGCAAATCGTAGCAATGGAAGGAAGGTCTCTGATTTGTAGCTGGGCTCTTGTTTTCATGTCCTGGCTCAATCATTGCTAGTTACTAAGTCTTGGGCATGTTACTTAACATTCCTGGGCCGTTCTTACCTTGTTTTGTTTTTATTTTTGTTTTTGTTTTAAGTAGTTTCATAGAATGGTAGTAATTTAGGGGACCATTTCATTTTACCTGGTATGCAGTTGGAACTCAGTAAATGGTCACTTCTATAAACACAGGCATGACTCCAGTGCTTCAGGGCTTAGAGTAGAGGCTGCCTGTGAGCTGATGTCTCACAAGCACATAGTATGTGTTCAGTAAATACCTATTTGATTAAAGGGAGCCTCAACATATTTGCATAAGAGTTGTTAAAGGAAGGCTTCCCTGTTTGTTTTTCTGGGTTATCTTCTTGGAGTAGTGTTTTCTGTTGTTATACTGGGACGTAGAGATGCTTACCCCTCAGCTCCCAGCATGGGTGTCCATGTGGCCTCCTCCTGTATTCACCCATAGCGACTCATCATTCCTGTATTCCAGGGCTTCACACGATATCCGTTTATTCCTTTCCCTGTAAGAGTCTGAGGCAGGAGTTCCTAGCTGGCAGATTCCCATCCATGCAGTGATTCAGGGATCCAGGCCCTTGCATCTAGAGCTCCCCTGTTTCCAAAGTGGTGGGGAAGAATTCCAGCCTTTTAATAACCTGTTGGCCCTTGAATTTCAGGTACAGTAGTTGAGGAAAGCAATGGTTCTGATGAGATGGAGAATTCAGAGGAAACAAAGATGTCAGAAGAGATCTTGGCTTTGGTGGATGAATTCCAGCAGGCTTGGCCTCTAGAAGGCTTTGGGGGAGCACTAGAGATGAAAGGGCGGCGTTTGGACTTGCAGGGCATACGAGTGCTGAAGAAAGGTCCCCAGGATGGAGTGGCCAGAAGCTCTTGCTACGGAGACTGCAGAAGTGAAGACGACGAAGCAGCAGAATGGGTAAGGGCTTGCCAGCTCAGTCCTCACAGAATTGTAACCCAGGTCTCTGGGGGCTCCTAGTTTTCGAAGTGTGTCGTTTTGGTTATGTGTGTGACAGTACTTTCCTTCACACACCGGGACCACCTGTCCACAGAACCGACCGCTGGAGGCATTTCATGTTGCTTCTGCATTGCCAGCTCTTCAGGGAGGCGGGAGGAAGTGTCTGGGTGTGAAGCCAATCTCAGAGCCTGGGGGCTTGTCACTTCCCACTTCAGACATCTTCCTTTCCCATTTCCTTTATACACTCTTCTTGACAGGTTGTTTTGTTCATTTCACTTGCCGTTTTTATTTGGATCTTTAAGTATTCTGGTGAAGAACAGAACTTAACCCTAGCACAAGGCTGGGTCCTTTTTAAAGCCATATGCAGTCATTGACATATTTGATAATGGGTCTCATTTGTCCCTGACATGATTTTGTTTTCCTAGATCACATTCCAGGTCAAACGCGTAAAGAAACCCAAAGGTGACCATAAGAAAGCTCCTGGGAAAAAGGCAGAAGCAAATCAAGCAGAAAATGGGCATCGTTCCCAAACCAACCTGGAGATCACGGGCCCAAAGGTGGCCTCTCCTGGGCCACAAGGTGAATTCACGTGTTTAGTATGCCAATTCTCTTTACAAAGAATCGTTTCTCTTATTTGTTACTATTATTATCTTTCTTTCTTTCTTTCTTTCTTTCTTTCTTTCTTTCTTTCTTTCTTTCTTTCTTTCTTTCTTTCTTTCTTCCTTTCTTTTTAATTTGACTGGAGAGAGAAAGAAAGGAAGGTGAGAAACCAAGCCGCCAGGTCCAGGATTTGAATCATTGTTGGCCATGTGGAAATCCAGCATCTTAATCACTGTGCCACCTGCCGGCCCCCATAGTGTGCCAATTTCTTTCTCAGATTTCACTATCTCATTGGTCACATAGGATGTATTTCTGACTAATTCAAGGTCAGATGAGAAAATAAAAGGGCAGAGTGAATGAGAAACCAGTCCCTGGTATAAGAAGTTTATTTTGACATTTATTTGATTTTTTCCATTGATTGATTGACTTATATTCTTATTATCTTAAGCTTAAATAGCCCATTGATTTTTTTTAAAGAATTATTTATTTAATTTTATTTATTCATCCATTTATTTTAATTTGACCAAAGAGAGACA